TATATATTCCCAGAAAAATGTTTTTTTCATTTTGATCGGGTATGAAATATAATTCCGAGTTGATTGGTAACCTTCTCAAATATAAATACGAGCGCAGAGGGTTGAAGGCCCTAAAGAACAAACGAAAAAGAAAAAAAAGGAAAGAGAGAGAACTAGATCCAGCGAGATTCATTTATCACTTACTTACCTGAAAGCCGTCGTACGTCCAAGAGCCGAATTTCATCTCGCAGCGCTGATCGTCGAAGGGGAACCAGGTAATGTCTATCTTACAAGTGCTTTTGAATATGCCGGGCGGTACGTATAAGCAGGTCCCATTGTTCTTCACGACGACGTTCGTTGGGTAAGTGCCGTCGAACCCTTCGTCCGCACTGTAACGTTAACGGCAATCGTTAGCGTTAAAACGGGTTTCGATCGAATCCTTTGAAACGAGAGATCATCGCCACGAGAGAAGAGATTTCTTTTCAAAAGTCTCGAGCTCGCGCGATATTCCGTTCGACTCGAGGGCGACATTTTCATCTGCTGCGGATAGAACAAGAATCGTTTATTAAAAATTTACACGAAATTTGTGTTTAACCGGTCTCTTCTGCCAGGACGATGGAGCTTTTGTCTCCAAATGATTCTTTGTTCCCTAGCAGCAGGTGTATCTTAAAATTAAAATATTGAATTACCGCAATTTCGTTTCGCCATTGCGATCGGTTCGTCCCGTTCCTTGTCAATCTAAAGCGCATTGAATTCGTTGTTCCTTCGGTGACGTTGAGATTACGTGCAACGCTTCTTATATAATAACGAGAATGAGCAAATATTTCTCTAAACGGGATTTATGTAAAATACAGACGCTGCAATCAAGCAGCAATTTCAATTTAATTTGAACGGTCGTGCCATTCGAACGAAATTTCAATGAAACACAAGGCCTAATATCAATGGGAATTAAAAAATTCCCAAACCCACCAATTGTAAAAGGTATGACTATGAAAAAAAAAAATTATTAAAAATGCACGACTTGTAACAATTGAGTTATAATTCATATTCCATGTCTATTTAATTCTATTCGAATCAATATTCTAAAAATTATATATAAAATTCCAATAATTTTATAATTTCTTGATACCAATCATTTATTTATAAAAATTCATTATAATAAATTTTTAATTTAAAATATTAATAGTAACTAAATTACTTTAAATTTAATATTATGTCTGGAAAAGAAATAAATTGTAAACTTATTAATAAAGATGTTAATTCTTTTAATATTACATATACATATATATATATATAAATTTTTAAAATTTATATAATGAAATAATTTTTTAATTTTAACGTGACGAATAATAATTTCCGTTCGAAAAGCTCTACAACTGTGTGTTCTACGCGTTTATTAAATACAGGGAAATTTATTTGCGTGTATTCTATTATGTCGGGAAAGAATCGAGGGTAATTCAATCATCGGAATAGCGACAGACTCTCCCTGAAGAATCCTCTCGCTTCCGTGAAACCGGCTGAACGCACTGAAATATTCAACGCGAATCGAAGTTACCCTTTTACATCGCTGTCCATCACGCATTATAAATTAATAAATCTCCCTGCCTACTTATCCCTCCATATTGAAGCGATAAATTTTAATCGCCAGACAGGCGTCTGATTTGTTCTTCGTCTTTATCCCCTGCACGAAGCTAAATCATAGTTGAATCCGAAGTAGTAAATTTATTATCCATATATATATGTGACAAGTGCAGAAAGTACAGAACGTTGTACGCAATTAAAAACTTGGCGAATGTAGAGAGGAAAATTTTTTTTATCATTAGTTGATCTCGAACGAGGAATCCACGTGTGGACGATAATTTCAAGATAATGGAGAACCGTTTGGGGAAATGTAGCCTCTGCTCTTCCATTTTGCAAGGGAAAAGTGTGAGAGAAAGAGAGAAGTTAGACTTGGAAATTACGAAAGAAGAACAATAATAAATCCTGGTAGATTCTAACTTTCAGCGGATTATTTTCGATTTCTTCGTCTTCGCGATCGTGGCGAGTTGGTCGTAGAATGCTGCTTTGTCGCGACGAGGCGAGTTCAACGTTCTCGCTGCGTTCAACTGCAATTGCAATAATATTGCAACGTCGACCTCGCGTTAAACTCCGTTACGAGGCTCGTTACTATTTGAAATCGATTCCCTGCCATTCTCTGGGCACGGTTGCGTGTTCCCAGCTCCCAGCGACCTGTCGGATAGATGGAATCACGAAAACGACACACACTCGCCTATCGACAAACGGCTTTTCCAAACTTCCACCGAGGCTTCTCCTTATCTGAAAAATCCACCTTCGACTCTCCATCTATTCTCTCACTCGTGTCGTTCACCAAGCATCTTCCGCGTTTCTTGGAAATCTCAATCTCCCTTTTTGCAATCATTCGCGAGGATTTCCATCTCTGTCGAGACGACAACAGAAAAAAAGAAAGAAAGTTTCTTCTTCTCATTGCGGACAAACGGATACAGAATTGGAACTCTTGTTAAGCAGTCGAATGTTGGCAAATTCTCTTCGGGGTTAATTTAAAACTTCAAGCCAGAGCAGTCATTAGAGAGAGAGAGAGAGAGAGAGAGCGGCGTTGAAGCGTGTTGAAGAGAGAGAACCATCCAACTTGCATGTTTGATCTCTCCTCTTTCTTCGCCCTTTCGACTTGCTTCATTTAAGCCACAGTGGCAGCAAATCGGGAATTATCGGGAAAGTCAGTGGGAAAGATAGATTGCTCGCTTTCTACGCTCAGGCCTCGCGTTCCCTTCAAGTGGACCTCGATATAGCTGTATCTAATACAATGTCGAAAGTAAATATATCGACGTTTGATTGATCGGAACGTCTACAAAGGTGATTGGAATATTTCTTCAGGACGCGTTTCTCATTCAACACCGGCGAGCCAATGCGCAGAATTTCCATCGCAGACAGTTTTTTTTTTTTTAACCTCTTGATCGCTGCGTCAGCTAGCAAAAGTATTTTTACTAATAAATAAATAATTTAAATATTTTTTAATTGGTGAGCCACAATCAATTAGGATATAATTTGCACAAGGAAAGACACTTGATTTTCACTAGCGTTGCCACACAATAGATCAAATACTAAATATTGAAAAAAATGAAAAAAGTTACATGCACGTTTGTTCAATTTGAAATGTTATAATTTTATAGCCTAAAAAATACACACATATATATTATACACGATAAAACTAATATTTATTTTGGGCGTGGTATGCCTTTGAAGCAAGTAGTTGGGCAGAGTGGAATTTTACAGTATACAAATATACATTATATATTCCGATTTTTAGTGTTAGAAAATGATTCTAGATGTCACTGTTGAGAAATCGAAATTAACTTCGCTTTTACTTAGGGTACAAGGATTGGCGCGATCAAGTGGTTAAAGAAGATCTTCATAACACGACAGAGCACGCAAGCCTTTTAAGAATCATTCGAGTCTTATATATCAGGAATACACTGTTTTACATCTATAAAATATCCAACAGAAATTATCAACCGGTCGTTTCGACCATTTTGATAATTCTATCTCTTAAATGAGATAATTGATCTGATCACGTGCAAAAGGGAGAATTCGATCTTGCGAAACAGAAGGGAACTATTTTTCCAAGATCCAAAAATCCCTTGTCTGAATCTGAATTCTTTTCACGCGAGGAGCTCGTCGAGCGAAAAGGTGTTGATTAATTAGAAGCGAATTCCAAAGCGATATATACATCGAGTCGAGTTCAGCTAGTCGAATTCTACGCTTGTTTTTCTTTTTTTACGAGCTGCAGCGTACCTCGTTCTTCTTAAACTTAATCGGTCTTCTCATCGCCCGGAAAGGAGAGAATTGCTCGAAAGAATACGCTCGCGTGCCTGCCTCTATTTATCCTTGTAATTGCGAGGAATTCGCGCGGAAAATCGCTCGAGTATCGTTAATGAACACGGCCGAAAAAGAGGCAGCGGCTGCTTCGTTCTCGATTATTGCCGGCGTGTCTCTAAGAGGGCACACACAGGCGCAAACATGATTTTGAATGGGACGCATCGGGACGATTGCACGGGGCACGGTGAATGGTATATATACATAATATACTCCCGCATCCAGGCGACTAAGGATTGGTTGGAAGTCGGCCAGTTGGCCGCAACCCAATCCGTTATTTCATTCTTTTTGAATCCCACCCTCTTCGTACTCATCCTGCCATACGCCTTGCCACACCCAGCCTCTCGCAACTCCCTCGTCAGTCTCCAAACGTTTCACACCACGCTGCACTCGCTGTGCGCGGTTGCACGTTTATTTCCGCCGCATGCTAAACTCTCGCGTAAGCGGCCGGTTTCCTTTGACGACGAAAATTAAATTCCCATCGGGAACCATCCCTCCCATCTCCCCCCCCCCCTCGAGGTTCGTAGGGAGCTGGCTCCAAGGATGATAATGTGCGCGCAGCCTGACGCCGACGATATTTACGCGCGCGTCAACCGTCCGGACGATGAATTAGTATCGATTTACGTTTAAACCTGGAACCGAGCGTTCGAAACGACCGACACTACGAGCAGTTCCTACGAGCAGCACGAGTCTCAATCCAGATGAGCCAGACAAATCCCTCGAGATTCCACCGCTCCGATTAACGCGCTCGCGCAACCACCGAATAGAAGAGTTAGCCGATAAGAAAATTTCGAGAGGATTAATTAATTGCTGAAGGGAACAACTGGACAACGCACGTGGTTCGTGTTAATTCTTCTAAGCTGCTTGGCCGATGATCGATCTTGCTGCCGGGCAGTTGGCTCGAAACAATCGGAATCTCTAAAGGCACGAAACGACGAATCGGGTGCTCTTCCGATAGTTAACGTTTCGATTATTAGGTCAGTGGCTGGTCGATCGATAGAACCTTCGTCTTCGTTTTCATTTTTAACCGAACGTCCTCGATGGGGGTGGGGGGAGGGGGAAGTGCCGCGAATGATATTGGCATACATTAGCGAGCATTAACAATTTACCGCGATTTCGTGCATTTCGCGCGAGTACGCTCCGATAAAGTTCGACCCGATATATTCCGGTTCTCTGGCTCCTGAAAGAAGGAGGCAACGCGGCGAAGGGGAGGAGAACGAGGGAGGAAAAATAACAGAGAAAAGGAGCAGATTCATTTCATAAAGTTCGTCACGACTGTTCGTGCCAGCATCCTCCACTACAGTCAGTTCGACAGCTATCGTTCGATGCGCATACACGCATCCCTCCAGCTACAACCCGTTTCTTTCTTTTTTTTTTTTTTTTTTTTTTGTACGAGCCAAGTCCCGACCAGGTAAATAGCTTCGGTTCATCGGCCTTCAAACCATTTGCAACAACGCTCGACGGGCACACAGACACGGGCAGAAGCTAGAAAATCAAAAAGCACGAGATCTCTCGTGATCGGTGTGATGGTTAC